TATGATGCACTGAGATGGACACAGTATCGCTTTGGTGATGCTTCTGCTGAAAGTATATGACTAAGTCTAATTATGAGGATCAATCAGTCAAACCTAAACTGAGGTACATTCTACAAAATGACTGTCGTGCACTCTTCTAAAACATCTCTGTTGCGAATCACAAAGACTGAGAAACTGTTCTGATTAAAAGAGACTAAAGAGACAGGACACCTAAATGGAATGTACAATCTAGGATTTTCTCTTGCTATAAAGAATATTACTGGGACAATTGGCAAAACCTGAAAAAAACTGTGAAGATAATGCCTTATGATGTTTATTTCTTCATTTTGGTTATTGAACTGTGATTATGTAAGAAATTTCCTCTCTTTAGGAAATACACACCAAAACATGTAGAGTAAAGGTGTATCATATCCACAACTGACAAATGGTTCTGAAAAAAAAAATCTGGAAAGTGCCAAATAAGGACTTCCTGTGTCTCCTTATTTATCTCACTCACGTGGGCATTGAGCAAAGGAGGGGTGGGAGTGAGCAGCGGCCCACACACAGCTGTTCAGGGATGTCTGGAAAAGAAGCCCACCCACATTGCTTTCGGACACTGGGTGTGACTTGGAGGGTATCAGGTTTGTCTGTTAGGGAAACTGCCAACCTCCTCCCTCTCCAATTGGTCTCTGTGTTTCCTTGCATGCCCTCTGAATAGAAGAGTGTCCCTTTCCTCAGACACTACCCTGAAGCATCTTCTTTCTTCTCAGTAGACTCTGAGATGTTAGCTCAACTATACATTTTTTTCCTATTTGAGGAATTCCATTGATGTGTAAGGAGGTAGAGGTCAAATCAGAAGAAGCATGTGGCTAAGCTTGCAATGCATTTGTTATTTCATTGATGAAAAAAAAAAAAAAAAAAGGCATTTGATCATAATCCAGCACACTTAAATTCTAGGCCCAGCTGTACTCCCATTAGATGCCTGACTTCAGCAAATAGTAGATCTATAGAGCAAAACATTGGAAAGGTTAGTAGAATTCCCCCCAAACAGAACTTGGTTTCCACTTCTATAAACAGAGATTGTGGAGTTGAACTAAAGTTATGTACAGAAAAAATGTCTTAAAACTAAAAATCACCAAACTTCTCAGTCCCGCCAATGTGAGTTACACTTGGTGAATCTATTCCATCACCTCCAAAGCAAAAAGGCTCTCTCATGATCCCCATATGATTAACAAGGGGCATGTCAGCATAATTTAGAGAAAACAAGGCCGGAGGTGCAGGTACCCTGAAAGAGAGAAATTCAGCTTCTCCAGTCACAAAGCCAAGACAGCCAGAGCTCTAAGGAATGTACAAGATCATCCACTTTATGGTGGCATCCGTTGTTATGAATTGCCCTATTCCTATGTTCTTTCTTGGTTATTAGAACTTCTATTTTTTTATTTTTATCTTTAGGCTACTTGCTTAAGGTCTTAAGTATTTTGGGGCAAGAATCCAGACTAACCCCAGGTTAGCCAGTTTCTTTATACTACATCTGTTGTCCCATCGAGAGCTGCAGTGGTCTTGGAAGGAATGAGTTACGCCTCATTGCCGAGGGACCCAGTAGGATGTGTAATTATTGAGTTCTAAAAAGTCTATTGGACTTATGCTTCTGCCCATAAATGAGTATCTGACAACAGAATTTTTTCTTAATAATAAAAAAAAGAAATAATCCCTATGTTCAACAGCCATGAAAAAAGAACCAGTTATTAAGTTACTGATATAAGTAACAACAAGGATATATCTCAAAAATAATATGTTGAGTGAAAGAAACTAGACACAAAAGAATGTATACTATATGCCTCCATTTATGTAATATTCCAGCGTTGTGTCATCCAACATAGTAGCCACTAGCCACATGTGGCTATTTAAAGTTAAGTTGATTAAAATGAAATAAAAATAAAAATGTATTTCCTCAGTTGCATTGGTCACTGAGAGTGCAAATATAGAATATTTCCTTCATCAAAGAAAGTTCTATTGGATAATGCTGTTCTAGAATATATACATCTAATACATAATGATAAAAGTAAGAGGGCAATTGTCTAGGGTCAGCAGTGAGGGAAGATTAACTGCCAAGAGGTATGAGGTAACTTTTGGGGTAATGGAGTATTCTTTATGTTGGTTTTGGTGAAGGCTACATGGCATATCATGTGTCAAGATTCCAAACCGAACACCTAGAATTGGTAAATTTCATTGTATGTAAATTATACCTCAATAAAGTTGATTCTAAAAGGTCAGGTGTTTGATGGACGTTTTGTTTTAATCACATATAATATTTATTATTAGTAGCTTTTTGCAAAGATAGAATCATGTCATTCATCGGACCGTATTTTGCTAGTCCCTGGAGACACAGAGACGAATTGGGTAGCAAAGCCACCTTCCAGTCGTTCCCGTCCTGCCCAGGAGGTGGGGCTTATGCAAAAAGAGCGCAAATCCAGGAAGAAAGTAGCAGCTGCCCTTGCGGGAGAGCAGGTAGGATGATCAGGGCCTCAGCGCCGGGGAGCTTCCTCTCACCCAGAGCCATGAGAAAGGCCTTCTGTTTTGTTTAAGGATCTGTAAGATGTGGTTATATACTGATGGGGTTTAAAAACATTCTGGATGGGGGGGAAATATGATCCAAGGCAGGAGAGTGTGCAACTTAGCAGGTGCGAAGTAATTCACAGGGCCTAAGCGAGCCGGGCTGTGTCCTGATACCCGTGTGTGGCAGAGGGTACATTGTCCCCTGTGAGGAGAGGGAGGGAGACACTGCGGCTTTCCCTGATATTATGTCCCGAGTTCAGGCACTAATGCTGCGATTTCCCGGAGCCCTTCGCTTTCTCCTCTTCATACAAATCAAAAGTCTTCACAAACAACATCAGTCACACAGGTAGGTCATAGTCAGAAAGGCAATTAATTGCCTTCTCCTAGGTTTCTGTATACCTTATTCTATTACGATATTTTGCCTAAAAGACTTACTTTGTTGGAAAAAATATCTAACTTGCACACTAAAAAGTAATTTATGCATTGGTAACCTGAGTTCCCTGGGGGAAGAGAGATGAAATATACATATAAGTGGCAATTATGATAATTATGGTATAATTGTTACTTATTTTCTCAGGTTGTGGATGGTTGTGTGCTATAGGTGTGCTGTCGAATCCTAGAGAGTTTGCCTTTTTGTTCTTGGTCTAGGTAACTCTGCATTTATTTTCACAACCCAATAGGAACAATATCTTCCATTTTTACTTATATAAAATTGTTTGCCATTTAGTATCTGTCCTTATTAGCTAAGTAAATTTAGGATTTTTTTTATAACAACTATTCATGTCAGGACATACATTTTAAATATTGTTGTTTTTTAAATATAAATTAGGCTACAAACCTTTTGAAATTAAAGACATGTTAGAAATATTTATCAATTGATAATTTACTTGGGAGTCTGGAGTTTCTGCTGGTAATTTAAAATGTTTAGAACAGTTCTGCTTATGTCCTGGAAGTAAATAAACATCAGGCCCCAGAAGAGCACAAAGTGTGATACAAACACCAGCAGCGCCAGCCTCGCCTGGGAGCTCCTTAGAAATGCAGAATCTCGAGCCCCACCCCAGACCTGCTGAATCAGAATCTGCAGTAGCTAGATCTCCAGATCACTTGTAGGTGCGTTAACATTTGAATAGCAGGGCATTAGATATCATTCTTTTAGTTAGTTTTACAAATGGGAGAGGCAAGGCCTTGAGTGATGGAACAATCTGGCCACGGTCAAGGGATGTTGAGTATTTTCAGTTTAAACTATGTATGTTATGGTTATCTGTATTTGCCAATAGCAAGGAATAAAGTCAAACACTTGAACTCCAATTAACAAATCTATAATTAATTGGTAAAATGATCTTCCCTTCGAGTTTCACATTTTGTAGAACAAGCTGTTTGATTTGGCTGAGGCTCAGGCCGGCATGTCTGTGAATTTCACAATTCACAGATGTTACACACTCTCGGGCTAAGTAAAGGGAGAGAATGTCAAGTTTTAAATAGCTTCTCCCTTCTATCCTGGCTGAAGCAACAAGTAAAATATTTGTTACAAAGTACATTTTGAATTTGAGTTTCTTCTAAAGAAATGTCAAATTCTCTGAAAAGAACTTTGGGTTGTCTCACAACTTTGACAGCTACTGGTGTCACCAGTTTACAGGTAACCTTCGATTAGAGGGTGAACAGAAGATGTGAACTTGTCATGTTAGTGACACTTGGGCACACACTGTTGTTTCTTTTTTTTTTTTTCCTGTTGGAGTCTATTTTAATTTAGCTTCTGAATCATATTTCATTCAATTCCAAATCCACAACACCAGGATAGGTTTACAGCCTGTATCTGGAAAGGTAGTAAATTATTCCATAGGTAGACTTTTCTAGTATTATATAAACTTTCGGATCTCTGACCAATTTATTGGTTTTACTCCCCAGTAGGTCTAGCCAAAGCAAAACCAAAACCAGCATAAACAGCAAGACATAAATAAGAGATTGAGACAGACTGATAGAGACTAAAATTAACTACAATGTTTTCACTAACAGGTGATTTGAAATGATTTTGTAAACTCAAGATAGTCTAAAATAATATTTTTATTTTAGTGTCACGTTAAACATTGTGTGTATTTGTGTGTGTGTGTGTGTGTGTGTGTGTGTGTGTGTGTTTGAGGTAGGATATTTTAAAAACTCAACAAAGGTTATTTTCTTTTATTTGGGGCAGGCGAAACTTCTAAGGGGAATGGATATCTCTCTCTCTTAGTTGAGAGGAAGAGTGAGTTCTAGGTTAAATATAATCAAGGAATTTCCCTGTCTTTGCTATTTGAGATTGTGGCCACAACAGGCGGTTGGCTGAAAGGGAGAATGAAGAAGGGTGGGGGTTGGGGGGAGGTGGAGTTAAAAAAAAAACAAAAACCCTTCCTAAGCAGCTCTGTAAAATATTTAGCTCCAGAGCAGCTACAGAAGTCCTCAAATCAAATCAGTATGCAGATACAAGGAAATGTTAATTAGCTGGAGCAGGGTGGACACTCATCAGCTCGGTTCTGTTATAAAAGCCCAGGCTGCTGAAATTAAACTCTGATGCCATTCATGCCAGCATCCAATCACCAGAGAGACCAGAAGTTCAGAGATGCCTTCGAGTTGCCAACAAGCGTGGCCACTATACGTCAAGGACTCTAAAGCCTGGTAGAGGGGGAAGAACATCTTTAGAGAGGATGCCCAGCTGGTAAGATTTGACTGTTTCTGATGTTTTAGTTACTTGATGAATCTCATTGGCTAAAATCAAGAAATGCTCCGCCTCTTTGCAAATGTGTGAAGGGGGAAAGTGTCTAAACTTCTATGTCTGATAGGAGTTGACCCTCTTGCTTTTAGCCTCCGGGCTTTCCGTCTATATACACAGGTGTATGTGTATATGTTATATAATTCTTCTCCATTTGTTGATACCAAAGGGCATTGGAGGAAATGAATTTTGAAACTTCACGGTGTGCCACCCTACAGTACTGTCCCGACCCTTACATCCAGCGGTGAGTTTAAACGTGACAGAACTTCTATCAGAACTTAACTGGAGTGACTTGTATAGTTGGAGTGTTTCTGCCCTGTTCAAAGAGCAGCCCCTCCTTGTTTATGAGCACAGGGATATTATTTTGGACTTTCTGTGGACTTAAAGTGGTCTGTGGGCATCTTTTTTTTAAATTTTCTTTTTTTGGTTTCTGTCTGAATGGACAAAGTGTCTAAGTCTGAAGACAATTTCCCACGGTTTCTTAAAAGAAATATCACATGATTTTAAGATGCTTAAAATCTGTTATTTGTCTTACTCAGCACTCACCCACCCAAGAAGAAGACATTTCATTGGATAGGGATCATCCATGGATGATCTCCAAGTCAAAATAAACACGGAATACTTTTGATTTATTAAAAACAGATAAATAAGCCATTGTTATTGTATCAAGGAGATTATGACTTGTCATTTTGGCTCTAAGGAATATTTCCTTCTTAATTTGTTTCATAACAAACATCACCTTTTGACAAATCTGACTTGTAAAACTTATGATTATACTGAATTTTATTTATGTTTATAGAAAGAAACATTTGCCTAGCACTAAGAAGGAATATTAGTGAGCATGCACGATGTGTGTGTGTGTGTGTTTCAAATTAGAGTTTGCTATTTTTAAACTGGTAAATGAAATCTGAACAGTGTTTTTCCAGTCATAAAGTTATGGGAGATATTTAAGCCGTATGTAGCAGTGTGATGTTCATTCAACAGCATGAGATTTGATGTTGGAATTTTGTACTTTATTTTATAAGACTAATAAGAGAGAACCTCTGAGTGTTGAAAACGGTAGGGTTACCAAGGGGTTAACATGTCATTCACTATCCTTGCCTATTGGAGCCTCAGACCAGAAGTAAGCAGGCTCTCTGGGCAGAGTTCAGCTACTGTCGCATTGCCCAGGCAATTATGGAAGATGTGTGATCTTTTTTCATTAATATGATTTGTCACCATGTGGGACAGTAATGTGGACTATCTAGGCTTTGCTTCTCTTGTTTTGAGGTTTCTGGTAGGCTGTGTGAAAAAGCAGAAGAGGAAAAGTAAGGCAGAAAGGTAAATGGAATGGTGGAGAGAGGAAAGAAAAAGAGGGGGGAAAGGGAAACAAGGAAGGAGAGGGAAAAATGTGAAATGTGGATGGTGTTTGGTGCCTGTCTTGCTCTCTCAGGAGTTTATGTTCTTGGATAACTTGAAAATTAGATTTAGCTGGAGTTGGAGATTGGGTTGATAAAGTGCAAAACACCAAAGATTTTTTACATCTCAAAATTTTTTTCAGTCTCAAAAGTTTCTATTCACTAAAAATCTTTGAAATAATATTTCTAAGAGCATATGCTAGTGAAACACTAGTTGTACAATGCTTTCCTGGAGGGCATCTTTTTTAAAGTAGGTACTTGAATCTACCTAAGCTCTAGAAGAAACTTTCTCTATTGATTAGCAGTCCACAGGTTAATATTCCTGAACGCCTCTGTAGTAGGCACACTGGTGTGCCGCAAGAATTTTAAAATGTGCTATACCTATTTAGTCAGGGGCATTGACCTCTTTTCCATTACATTGTCAAATAAAAAAATGACCGGAGCCAACACAATGACCATCAGATGAGAATGCATCAAAATGATACCTATTTTTTGGTCATATCTGCAAACAATATATTTTTGGTGTGCCACAGAATTTTACTAATTAGTTTATGTGTGTCATGAGATGAACAAGGTTGAAAATGGCTGGTCTAGAGACATTTCTAGTTATTGATGAGAGAAGCTTGTAAATATAAATAAATGAGGAAATTGCTTTTCATGCTGTTCCAACAAACTGTTAGTTCATTGGGCAATTATCTGTTTTTGACAGATTGTGAAATTCAAAATAATAATAGCATTTTTAAATAAGTTTAAATTTGGCCTGAGCTTTGATCATGGTGAGTGCCACTTTGGGGAAAGGAGGGAGGTGTGTTGGGGAGCTTTGAGATTGCAGTGCAGAGTGGTCAGGGAATGTTTGCTTAATAAATTGCTTTAGGCAAGATTATGTACTTCCCATTTGTAATGATACTTACCTGGCAAATAAGTTAAAGGGCAGAAAAATATTTGTTGGCTGAGCATCTACTCTGTGCAAGACACTGGAAATATAAAAATGAATAAAATGTAGCTGCAATGTTTATTTAACTCTACAGTACTTATATATTTAATAACATATTTTTCTCAAATATTTTAACTGTCTTGTCACATATTTTAGGGACTGAATTATTACTACTTTCCTTTTATTACTTAGTGAGTAAGTGAATGAATGAATAAGTGAAAAATAGATTACTGTAAGTAATCTATGATACCATACATTGTCAAAGCAAATATCACACTGCATTTCCTTTGATGCCTAATGAGTGAATGGGTTTGAGTTGGTTTTTCTAAACAGACAACTCTTGTAGTTCTCATTTTACAAAACCTATTTTAAGATAGACCAAATTTAATCATTCTATAATCATAATCATCTACGTAGTTAAATTTGTCTTTTTCCTGACCTTGTCTTTAGAGAGAAGTCACAAGAAAGAATTTTCAAAAACAGAAAGAAAAATACCTTGTTATTTTTAACTCCAAGCTACCTTAATGCATGAATTTACTTTTGTAACAAAACAGAATAAATGAGAGATGCTATTATCATCTATTACTGATTATTAATGCCATTCCCCAAAAGCCAATTTTAAAGTATTTCATACATTTAAAGTATGAAATGATAATCATTATCATAGTTAAAATTGAGATTTAACTCCCTGTTTTTTTCTGTCTGAATATATTGACATACTGTGCATTTTGTTTTTCTCTGATGTTGATGCTAATTTACTTCAGTCTTTGCAAAAACTTCTCTGAAAATCAAAAAAGTCCTTCGACTACAAAGCTTAGATTTCCCCTTTGATGACATTGACCATTTCAAAGAAGAGGTGACAAAATTACATCTTGTCATTTTATTGCTCACTTAATTCTAACAAAAATATTGAAGCATAGATGAAATTATGCAAGATCAATAAAGAAGAGCCAATGAGTAAATTACTATTTCCTTATAATAAAAACTTCATAAAATAAGTTCTATTTGTTTATTTCTTATTAGGCAAGTACTAAAAATTTATCATTTTAGAAGCTAAACCTTGTTCATATATTTTCGGGGTTATAATTTGGGTGTCCTTGAATCCCGTTAGTTTTTAGAATCACCATCCAGTTTTCAAAATATGTTTTTTAACCAACAAATATTAAAAGATTAAATTCTTTCAAAAGAAGCTGAAACTGTTAAAGTACTGTGTGGATGAGTAAGAAGTATTTCCTGTGCCAATTACATATTGATTGTGAATTTTATACTTTTTATTTTTGCTTAAAGGTCAACTTTATCAACTGTTCTTTCTAAATGTATCCCAAAAGGAAGGGTAATGACGGTGAACCTAGAGCAGAAGATCATTACCTTAAAATCACGTACAGGCATATGTGGTTCTGGGTCGGGTGTCCTCCTCTTGCCTCTTTACATCTGCCTCCCATTCTTCTCCTTCTGGTTCTGTACCCCAGAAAGTGAACTTCTAAATATCCCATTGACAGTTCCTTTCCCCTTCGGTTTCTCTTGTGTTTAACCACTGGGAACCTCTAGCAGGAGATTGAAGGATACAAGGAGAGTGAAGTTGGGATATATGTTTCCCTGGCCCCCTCCCTGCTGGATTTTCTACTAAAGGCTGTAAGTCCTGTGAGAGGCCTTTGCCACAGGTCCAGGTGTCTTCAGTTCAAGTAACTGCCCCCTACTTTCCCTCTCCTTCAAGCTTAGGGGTGGTAACCATTCCTAGCCACTGTTAGCTCCAAAAAGGCCTATCAAATCTCTTATCCCTTGATAAATAGTCATTTCATTTACTCTTTGTTCAAGTGCTCTTTTTTTCTGCCAGAACCATGGCAAATCCAAAAATAAATATATGCCCATAGTGTTGTGTGCAAAAGAAGACTTCTAAAATGGATATAACAAATAATAACGCAATGTAATTTCTGATGTGAGATAAAGGATATATCCACCCATTGCAATAAGCAAACCAGTTTATAGTAAGGCCGATTTTTTAATTCTAGCCATCTCCATAATCACTAAGTTTCTCTATCTGAATGAGTCTACATGCTGCAGTTTGTGTATGTTGTTTATACTTGAAACGAGGCAAGGCAGAGGGCAGGAATAATTATTTCATAAAGAAATATGAAGGTATAATTTATCAACAGCAACTAATGTAGCCACCAGCTGTGACCAAGAAAGAGCTGCTTTAAATCCTTACAATTTTTACAAGAATAAGTTTTTAAAGATCTTTATGGCAACTTGTAGCTAGCTAAAAAGATTCCGTGTTACAATTCTGTCTACTGCTCCTGAGCTGTGAGTGTATTCAAATGGCAGAGAGGCAGGGAAGTGTGTTAGCTCTGTGTGCATAGGACTTGTCAAAAGATCTGGATAATGGTTTCAACTAATTATGTGACCTTCATGAAATCACTAAATCAAAGATTTCTCATAAAGTATGTAGCGATAAGAAACTCTGATGTACTACCAGAAATTAGACTTTGAGAATTAAATATAAACCCACGTAAACTGTGAAATTCATTTCCTTAGTCTATTTGCTCAGTCCTACTATTGTGTGGATGGCATACCAGCAGAATGGGGATTCTTTGCCAGCAACAATTGTGTCTTCATGTAGGCATACCTTACATTCCATTTTGCTTTATATCATCTTTAAATTAAGGACAAAGGTCATTATGGGTTTTGGCATGATCTTGTCTTGTCTCCCTCAATTCTTATACTTTAGAGTTGAGAAACCTAAATCCTAGAGGGGTTAAGTGATTTGCTCAAAATCACACAGCAAAATAGTAGCAGAACAAGGTCTGGAACTCAAGTCTCTTGACTCCCAGTTCAATGCTATTTCTACCAGAGTACATAACATTCTATTAGATCTGCATAGGACTTCATGGTTAAGAAAGTATTTTCCAAAACATT